CTGTTTAAATAAATATTTGCTTGTTTTAAAAGTAAATAAAATACAAGTAAATAATTTTATAAATCTGAATAAATTATTTTTTAATATTAAAAGTATTTGGATATATCATATGTATATACGTATATGGATATATCATATGTACACAATATAAAGTGTCTCTCAATCAAAGTGACAGTGACGCAATAGATAAGATGAACGACACAAGAATCAGCCCAAGTAACAGATTCACGTCAAAATGACGTAAAAAACTGCTTATAACTGGTCGAATGACGTCAAGTTGCTAAATAACAACGTCTTTAAAACGTCTTTTTGTGACATCTTAATGACGTTTCTGTATAACGTCTTAAAAAAGTATTATTGACGTTTAGAGACGTCATAAAACGTCATTAAGTCGTCTAAAATGTTGTCATCGATCTGTGACATTAGACTATCATTTTGACAATATTCTCACGATATTTTTGATCATTCCTTGGTTACTTTTTATCCTGAACTTACTTAGATTTGGATGTCATTTTGACGTGTCTGCTACCTAGGAGAGGTCTCAGACTCGAATCTCAGCGATGCCCATACAGCACAGAAGCTTGCAGCAACATTGCTACAACGTTGCAAAATTGCATATTGCAGTGCAATGTTGCAGAGACTTTGCAGTGACATTAATTTGCAATATTACTTTAGCAATATTGCAGTAATATTTAAAAAAATATTACGAATATAATATATTTTATTTATTTACTAGTTTTTGTTACTTGTATTTCAAATTCAGTAATGTTTTACATCAATAATATTTATAGAATAGTACTTAGAATAGCACTTGTTAGTGGCAACCATTAATTTGTCTTATTGCATATTTTTTATACTTCTTATACCGTTTTTTCGGAGAAAATACTTTCTTTAGATTTAATATTCGTACTTGTTTAATTTTGTGGTTTTTTTTATTTTATTAGAATATTATATTTTTAAACGAAATATCATTTTTTAAAATGATGAAAATAACTTTTATTTCGATCAAGGAAACCATGTCATTTGATGAAACGACACTATTGTTTTAAATAATATTTTTTAAAAGTTTCTCTCAAAATTTAGTAATTCGATTTGTTTAATTTGGATTT